CCTATCGGGTCATCACAAAATGACAATACCGTGATAGTTAAGCCTCATTTTACTATATTACACGCCTTATTGAAAAATGTTGAGATTTTAAAAGGAGCTTAAGATTGTCAAAACTGAAACAAATAGTGGGAAAAAGCATACCGACAAATAAATTGGAAGTAGTACCTAGATTATCATAGGCAGTATTTAGTACTCCCTCCGATTTTCAATAAGTGATTAATTTGTCTTGGGCACACCCATTAAGGAAATATAAATTTTTAGACAAAAATAGTTAGTGTAACTAAACTACCCTTAATTAAGGATAATTTTGAGAGGAGTAAAAAACTTTTTAGAGATACGTACATAAGAGTAATTTTGAAAAAAAAATATTTTTTTTCTTGATTATATAAATGGACACTTATTTTGGACCAAATTAATAAGGCAAATTTCTCACTTATTGTGGACCAGAGGGAGTAGTAATTAACATTTATAACAAATCAAGTATAGGAAACTTAATTGGTACTCCCTTCGGTCCAAAATAAGTGAGTTTTGGTTGTTTTCACACAGATAAAGCTGTCAAAACGGGCCAGCCCAACCTAAGTCTCGTGGACTTATAAATTTGGTGGGCTACGACAGGCTGGCCCGCCATATGAATGAGCCTTAAAATGGCCAGCCCAACCCACCCCTAAGAGGGCCGCGGGCTAGGGCGGGTCGGCTCTTCAATTTTTTTTTAGAAAAAAGAATTTCTTTAAATTCTTAAATTCTTAAATTCTTTTGTGACGTAGTCGATTAATCATATAAACAACTTCTGTTTGTTTAGAGCGTACAAAAAGCTTGATATTTGACGAGTAATCTCGTAATCAAAATGCAAATTCTCTATATCTCTAGCTCTTCTTTTTTGAAGTTTCATTAATATTTTCTTAATACTTTTCTTTCATTTTCCTCAAATTCAGAGATTGCTTCAATAAGTTTTTTTTTTTAATTTAGGATTAACATCATTTGCTGATTTCATCATAATAGTCTATAAAAATTTTAAAATTCCCGAAATTTGCTAGTGGTCAATTTTTTTGTGTGTATTTAAAATTGATCTTTTTCTATACTGAAGAGCAGTTTAAATATTAATAATATATTAAAGTAATCCAAACTGATCATTGTCCACTGAAAGTAATATTGTTTTGAAATTATTTTTATTATTGGCCACCTAAAACTTTTTGAATTCGTTATTAATTAAGAAAAAAGAAAACTAATTTTGTCAAATTACATGCATGTCAAAAATCTAAATTCTAGTTGATATGGAAGGGTAAATGAGCAATCTCTCTCTCTCTCTCTCTCTCTCTCTCTCTCTCTATATATATATATATATATATATATTTTATACTACTAGGCATGCCTAGTAGCTATTTTATTAATAATAAAAGTAAAAAGAAAACACAACAGAAAAGTACAAGTAAGGGGGCTAGTAACAGTAGTGTTGCATATATGTCTTGGCTATATAATCACTCCTTTGAGCCTCCATTGCATTAAGATGGCAGCCTCATGTAGAGGATCATGGTATAGCTGCCCGCAAAAGTCTCACGAGGGCATATATTCTCATAGCCGCTTGGACCTTCCCAAAGGCATAGGAATATAGCACACACATACTGGGCTAGACCTTACCTTATAATCCTATTGAGGCATAATAAACCTCATATACTAGCAAGCATGAAGAAAATACGAACTGAAAATAACTAAGTACTGTATGATCATCACAGAGTTTATAACATACTCTGTGATGATATTACAAATAATGATGCTTAAAAAATGATAAAATAAAACAAGGTAAAAAATTGTGTCTTGCCCCTCTTTCTTCTACCGTGTGCACTCTTCAATTTGTATTTCATTGGTTTATCCTTCCACTATCTTCAAATATTCTTCAAACTTTATCATTTTTTTTTGATCTATTGGACCTTGTGGAGGTGGTTGGGCCAACCGCCTTTTATTTTGCACTTCTCATTGGAGGTTTTCTAATGACAACCTCTTGTGTTAACTTGCCATCCCAACTTCGCACATGTCTAGGTGAAAGATCTCCCTCCCTAGCTATAATGTTGAAGGTGGCATCTAGTAGTTCATCCTCTTCTCCTTCTTCATAAAAGTCTTGGCCCATATGCATCCCAAAATCGTCAATATGATTGTAGCCCTAACTAGTCAACCTTGATCATTCCTCGGGTTATTAAACACTGTCAATTTGTCTAAATCATGAGACACAAGTGCATGGAGCATATCGGCCGGCGTCAGATTGTATTTTGAAGCCATTGAACTTGAAGTTCCAGCAGCATTAAAGTTGTGGATAGATGACGAACCAGCTGTGGTTAGTGCATGTTGCTGCCCAAGTGTTTCTCTCCCTTTGACAGATTGTATTGCCAAAGTAACACCTTCAAAACCTGTTGTTACTGATCGATTGTTGCTGTCCCGCGGGAACCAAAGCAGCATCATTAGGACTCAGGTTTGTCATGATTTCAACACTTAGAGATTGAATCGAAACCTGCTCAACAATTGCTACTACCATTTCCGATGATGTATTACCTTGTCATGGTGTAGACGCTATTATTTGAGTTCTTAGCTCCTGGTTATCTACAAAGTTTTCTTCCCATTCTTCATATTCTTCTGCTTGGTCAACCCATGTTTTACGACCTATCATGACAGCATTGGTAGCACCTTGTTGCTCCTTAGAACAACTTCCTTCATTTGTGGATGCTTGAGAGGATGAAGTCATACTTGCATTTGCTTGTTGATTGTTATATGTTGACAGTAGTTGCTGTCCAGAATCAACTGCTCGGTCACCATAAGAGTCCATCGATTGCGAAGGGACCTCATGAACAGAGGTATTCAAGGTAACCAATGGTGCGTTAACTTTTTGAATGGTATGTAACAACAAAGTTGCGTTCGAGTCCTTTATCATTTTATCCAACATAACTGCGTTGGGGAATGTGGATTATAGTTAATAGTTTTTTTAGTTTTTACTTTTTTAAAATATTAAATATTTAATAGTTAATTAATTTGAATTTAATTAATTTTTGGCCCACGGGCCGGCCCAAGCCCAACCTCGGTCAAGCCTCAAGGACCAGCGGGCTAACTTGGGCCGGGCTTATAAGCTTCAGTTTTAAATGGGCTCAAAAAATCTTAGCCCAAGCCTACCCAAGTAGCGGGCTGAGTTGGGATGGTCTCACGGGCCAAGCTCATTTTGACGGCTCTACACACAGATTGAGAAATTCACCTTTTAACATTAATTAATTAGTAATGAAATTTAACCTTTACTTTTAATTCACATAAATACTCCCAGCACATACTCCAACACTATTTACTCCAAGGGAAATGTAGGAAAAAATAATTAATTCATTCTTGAAATATGAAAAAGTCACTTATTTTGGATCACAAAAAAAGATAAAAAAGATCACTTATTGTGGACCGGATAGAGTAGTATTTTCATATTGCAGCAAATTCAAATTGGATTAACTTCAAAATGATATAAAATACAATGAGGTGAATGTGACTGCATCCATCTCATCCAATGCGTTTATTTATCGTCGTCAAATACACCGTAATCAAATGGAAAAAGACATGTCTATACTGTCGTTTCGAAATGTTTTAACAGCTAATTCCTTGAATTAGTCGTTACATTCTACTCCCACTATTCTATTTTATATAACACTTTATTTTCAGTCTCTCAAAAAGAACAATATTTTTTTTATATTTAAAAATAATTTAACTTTAAACTTTCTGTTATACCCTTAAGGGTCGTTTGGTTATTTGTCGAGATTAAGATTATAATTTTGGGATAGAATTTGGGATTGTATTTATCCCATATTTTGTTGTGAATATTATTACTTAATATATACCGGTATAAGTTTTATACCAAAATGATGATATTAACTACTCCCTCCGTTTCAATTTAGATGAGATAGTTTGACTAGTCACGAAGTTTAAGGAAAAAAAAGACTTTTGAAACTTGTGGTCTTAAAATCTTAAGGGATAAAAACTTTGTGGGACTATGACATTTGTGTGGTTATAAAAGCTTCTTATTAAGGGTAAAATAAGTAAAATAAAGGGTTTTAAAGTTGAATTATTTTCAATTGTAGAAACGTGTCATTCTTTTTGAAACGGACTAATAAAGAAAGCGTGTCATCTAAATTAAAATAGATAGAATATTTCACATTGGATGTCGGATAAACAACCCCAAAATTATAATCCTGGGATTGTTAATTAATCCCTGGATATCTTTTTTCACAACCAAATGACCCTTTAATGATATAATTTTATAGTGACATAAATGCCATTATACGTTTAAAAAACCTTTCTAAAACCTTCCTTCTTCTTTCTCGAATTCTATGCTCACTCAAATACCTTCGCATAAAATGGAACATAAGGGACAATACCTTCGCGGGGAAAATAAGAACACTATAATGATATGTGACCTTTCGAGGTAGTAAGGGAGTTTTTTTGGGGAAGAGAATATATAGATCACGTGATGATAAATATGACAGAGTACCACATTCCCTTTCTTGATCAAGTGATCTACTTTATTCCAAAAAAAGAATTTGAACAAAGATGTCATGTATCAACCAAACTAGGAGAAGCCTCCAAATTTATTAGTACCTCCTCCTTTTCGGTACGGATAGTAATATGGACTTGATTTCAATAGTACTTCTATAAGGATATATTCTGAAAAAAAGATTTCATTTTTTCTCAAATCAAAACTAAAATTCTGATATCTTTAGTTATATGGGAAAAGATCACTCCAGCTTGATAACTTTCTTTTTCCTTTTGCATGTTTTCAAAAGGGCATGCATTATATTGTAACTTGTTGGAATACAGGAACCTTATTCATTTCATCCACGTTACATCACATATATTCTCTTTTCATTTTCAAGATTGTAGAATGTGATGCAGCTGCATTTATCATACAAATAATCGAAAACAATTAATACCTTGGATATTATTCACCCACTTGCCCTTTTGGGAAAATTGTCATCCTTTTTCTATCTAACCACTTTAAGCCTTATATATAGCTCACTCCAATTCAAGTTACCATAGCAAATCAAGAAACTCAATACACAAAGCCTTTTATTTTCTAGCTAGTTGTCTACACATATTTCTTCACATACAAATATTTCACCAAATATTTAAACATTATGGATATGGTGATGAAGTTGGGAGCACAAAGTCCTGTTGTGATTTTTAGCAGAAGTACTTGTTGCATGTCTCACACTATCGAAACGTTAATCCGTAATTTTGGTGCAAATTTTACAGTTTATGAGCTTGATAGATTTCAGAATGGGAAGGAATTGGAGAGGGCATTGGTTGAATTAGGGTGTCAACCAAGTGTGCCTGCTGTGTTTATTGGAAATGAATTGATTGGTGGTTCTAATGAAATCATGAGTCTCAACATTAGAGGCAAACTCAAGCAATTGCTCATTAGGGCTAATGCAATTTGGGTGTAGAAATAATTCTTTTGCTAGCTAAAAAGTATAGGTCTTTATGTCATTTTTGGGCAGTAATATACCTAGCTATTGAGTATTTTTTTTTATTTTTTTGCTTTTCTAATAATATGCAGACGGTTTTTCTTTCCTTATCTCCAATTTTGTTGTTTATGTAATAATAAAGGTGTCTTTTGGCCATAATAATCACTTTCTACATTACTAGTTCATATCAATATACTAAAGTTCTTGCAAAATTTCGTATGTGTTCTTGAAAGTAATAACACCAAGTATGGGATGTTTTAATCAAATCCTTAAATATATGAATATCAATATCATAAAGAAAGAGCTTGTGAATATTCATTTATTTTTTCTTGGTGGGACTGACTAGATTTATGACTTTAAACTTCTTTAGGTGATGAGATCATCGAAAAGATTAATTAATTATAAAAGCTGTCAATTTTCTAAAGATAGAGGAATCTTTGTTTGGAGTAATATCCAAACATGTGTACATGCCAAGATGGATTCAATTACGTTTTGTTTTAATTACTACCAAATTAAAAGCTTGCACCGTTAAGTTAATAACCTATAATGCTGGTGGTTTAACTCGAGAGGAGTTCGTTGAGGTCTCAGGAAAATCCCACATGGGAATGAGAGGGAAAAATTAGAGGCCATAAAAAAGCGAGTTCAGGATTCAATTATCGAGACAAATTTTGACAGTTAGGCCGGACCTTGACTTACACTACTTGTAGAAAAATGTTGAGAATTTAAAGTGGACGTCGAATTAACGAGATCACAAGGATCTTAAGATTGTCAAAACTGAAACACATAGCGAAAAAAAGCAGGAGGACACAACTAAATTCGAAAGTAGTAGCTGGATTATCTAGGCGGTCTTTAGTAATTGGCATTCCTAATCAATCATAGGAAGCTTATTTGGTAAATTTTGTATTGCAGCAAACTCAAAGTACATTAGCTTCTACATGAAATTAAATGAATTACAACTGAATGAATGTCGGTGCATCCATTCCATCAGGATAGCTCTGTGCATAAAATGTTCCGCGTTCACGCAGGATCCGGAGAAGAGTTGCATCCTAAGGGTATAATGTGGACAACTTACCCTATTGCAAGCATTAGTAGTTACTTCCGCGACTAGAACTCGTGACCTATAGATTATACAGAGACAACTTTATTATTGCACCAAGACTCCCCTTCACTGCATCCATCCCATCCAATGCGCTAATTTATCCTCTTCAAATACGCATGTAATGAAACTTCCATGAATTAGTCGTTACATTCCGCTCCTTCCATCTCATTTTAGGTGGAGACAAACTTTTCTTTTCAATTCGTCTAAAAAAGGACGCTTTAATGACATGATTTATGGCAAGATAAATATCATGACATGTTTAAGATCACGAGCTCTAAAGTCGTCCTTTTCTTTCTTAAATTTCTCACACTATGTTGTCAAAGTTTGAGCTTGAAGCTCACACGATCTGAGCCCTAATCTGGGCAGAGAAGAAGGAGAATGAGAGAACTTTCTAGAGAGAGAAATATTGAGCAAAATGTTTTGTATTGAAAATGAATTGACTGACTTTCCTATTACACTGTACACGCATATATGTCTCTACTTTGACAGCTGTTTACAGTTATAACTACCTTCTAACACTACAAACCAACTAACCTCTTCCTACATAATTAATCCTTTCACTAATTATGCATGCCTAACTAACTAAACCTCAAGGAACTCCTTTCTCAACACCCCCCCTTAATTTGATAGGTTCAAAAACATTTAGCACTTCCAGATTGGAAAATAAGTACTCATGTTGAGGTCTCAACAATGATTTTGTCAATATGTCAGCCTGTTGCTCCAAAGAGCAGGTATATTGTGTCTTTACCAGTCCTTGTTGAATCTTCTCCCTAATGAAGTGACAGTCAATTTCGATGTGCTTTGTCCTCCCATGGTACACTGGGTTTGCTGCTATATGTAAAGCTGGCTTGTTGTCACAATATAGACTTACTGGCCTCTTTATCTCTATTCCCAACTCTTTGAACAACCTTGTCACCAAAACAAGTTCTGCTACTGTTGAAGCCATGCTTATATACTCTACTTCTGCAGAACTTCTAGAAATTGTGTTTTGTTTCTTTGACTTCCAAGAAATGAGTGAATTTCCATGCTTAATGATGAAGCCTGTGACTGACTTCCTAGTGTTTGGGCATGATGCCTAATCAGCATCACAGTATGCTACCACACTATTTTCCCTCTTGATTTCAACAACACATCTATCTAGCCACTTTAAGCCTTATATATATAGTTCCCTCCAATTCAGGTTACCATATCAAATCAAGAAACTCAATACACAAATCTTTTTCTTTTCTAGTGGCCTTTACAAATTCTTCTTTCTGCACAAGAAAGATATAAACGTTATGGATATGGTGATGAAGTTGGGAGCACAAAGTCTTGTTGTGATATCTAGCAGAAGTACTTGTTGCATGTCTCACACTATCGAAATGTTAATCCAAAATTTTGGAGCAAATCCTACAATTTATGAGCTTGATAGACTTAAGAATGGGAAGGAATTGGAGAGGGCATTTGTTGAATTAGGGTTTCAAATAAGTGTGCCTGTTGTGTTCATTGGAAATGAATTGGTTGGTGGTTCTAATGAAATCATGAGTCTCAACATTAGGGGAAAACATAAGTAATTACTCATTAGGGCTAATGCAATTTGGGTATAGAAATAGTGCTTTTCATTTTCTAGCTAAAATGTCTAGACCTTGATGTCATATTTGGGCAGCAAGGTATCTAGCTATTGAGTTTTTTTTTTTCTCATTTTCGATTTTGTTATTGAAGTATTAATAAAGTTGTAATGACCCGACCGATCATTTAGAGCTTGGCACGTTATTTTGTGGTTCGAGGCCTTGAGTAGCTTCACTTCAGGTGTTATGACTTGTACGTGTGGTCGGAATTTAATTTCGGAGTTGGTCTGGAAAGAAAATTCTAAATTTGGAAACTTTAAGTTGGAAGAGTTGACCAAACTTTGACTTTTGAGTAAACGACCTCGGAATTGGGATTTGAAGGTTCCAACAGGTTCGTATGATGATTTCAGACTTGGGCTATGTCCGGATTGGTTTTCGGATCACCCGGGAGCATTTCAACGCCTATTGTGGAAGTTGGCATTTTGGGAAGGATTTCATAAATTTGTGTTGAAGTATATTTCAATGTTATCAGTGTCTATTTGAGATTCTGAGTTTGGGGATAGCTCCGTATGGTGATTCTGATCTTAGTAGAGCGTCTAGATGTTAATTTGGAGGTCCCAGGTAATTTTAGAGTCATTTGGTGAAAGTTAGAAATTTAAAGGGTTTTAAGAAGTTTGACCGGGAGTGGACTTTTTGATATCGGGGTCGGATTCTAATTCTGCAAGTTGGGGTAGGTCTGTAATGTCAATTATGACTTGTGTGCAAAATTCGAGGTCAATCGAATTTGATTTGATAGGTTTCGGCGTCGAATGTAGAAATTTGAAGTTCTGAAGTTCATAAAGCTTGAATTGGGGTGAGATTCGTGATTTTGATATTGTTTGATGTGATTTGAGGCCTCGAGCAGGTTCGTGTTATGTATCGGGACTATTTGAAACGATTGGAGGGGGTCCCGTGGGCCTGGGGTGTGATTTGGGGTGGTTTCGGACCTAGTTTGGGTGTTTTGATGCTGATAGTTGCTGGTTCTAGTGTTGTTCGTCGCATTCGTGAGGAGCCTCTCACGTTCGCGAAGAAGGATTTTGTTGCTGGGACATTGTTCTTCGCGTTCGCGAAGAGGCTCTCGCGTTCGCGAAGAAGGAATTTTTGTTGTCCGTCGTCTAATTTTGGAAGCTTATATCTCTCAATTTATAACAAATCTGAAGATGATCTAAAAATAGAAGTTGTAGCCCTTGATGTCTAGTTTTCAGAAAGGTAAACCATTTGTAATGTGGAATTGTGTACAAAACGTTATGGTGGCTAAAATACAGACTGTCCGGTAAGTGTTTGAAAATCTCTACTGCACAAGGCTGACTTTAGAAGTTTATATCTTGCAATCTATAATGAATTGGGAGAATATCAACATATGAACATTATAACCCTTGATGTCTAGTTTCCTGAAAGTTAAACTAATTATGATTTGGAGCTTTGTACAAAACGTTATGACCATTATACTGGAAGCTGTTTGAGAAGAGTTTGAAAATGGCTTTTGAGAATTTTGTTCATCGCGAACGCGATGGTGTGCTTGTGAACGCGAATAAGGGTCGCCTGGGTAGTGTATAAGTTTGAAAAAATGGGTTTGGCTCATTTCATCTCATTTCCTCCATGGGAGCCGACCTAGGAGCGATTTTGGAGCTCCATCTTCATCATCTATGTCAAGGTATGTGATTCCTACCTTTTGCGAGTTAAATACTTGGTTTCTATACGAATTTAGGCGTGAAACTTCATGGAAATTAGTAGAAATTTGTGTTTTTGAAGAAAAACCTAAAAATTGATATTTTTGGATTTTGACCACGAAATTGGCCATGGGATTGAGAATAAATTAGATATTTGAGTTCGTAATTCTATTGGAAATGTTTATCTTCGAAAATTTTCGGAATCCGGGCACGTGGGCCCGAGGGTGATTTTATCGACTTTTCGAGCGAAGATTGAAATTGTTGTAAATTGAATTATAATAAGTATTAGAGTATATATTTATGGATTTGCACATTTATTAGACTAGTTTTGGAGCATTATGCATCAATTTGAGGAGTAAAGAGGCTTTGGAGCCGGTTACGGAATTTCGGAGCGAGGTAAGTCTCATTTCTAACCTTGTAAGAGGGAATTTACCCCATAGGTGAAATAATTCAATATGTGCTTCTATTTGTGGGGGCTACGTACATACGAGGTGACGAGAGTCCGTGCGTAGCTACTATTTTTCTTATGTCCGGGTAGTCTAAGACCCGAATCACGTTATATTTGTGATGCTTGCATCCCACTTGTTAATTTAAACGTTTATGGAACTTGATAAAGGAATTTCAAAAGGTTAAACTTTACCTACTTGGGTTTCGGACGGGTCACTTGACCGTTAATGAGAATTGATATTTCTTTGAACATCAAACCTAAATAAATCTTTGATTTGGTCGTCTGAATGTGTTTATCTTT